TCTAATACACAAAAAAAAAACCAATTAAAATTTAAAAAATGTTGCTGTTGGATTTCATTAAAGGCCCAATTAAATTTGAAAAGCCCAACGAAATTAAACCTACTCTCATTAGCCCACAGAATCTCTTATTGTTCTCATCTATCTTATCTTTAATCTTTCTTCTCCGGTGAATCATGTCTGCAGACCCTAAAGCATGTGTCTTCTTGGACATGGAGGATTTGCCTTTCCCTTTTGATTATATGAGAAGATCTCTTGTGCAGTTTGGTTTTCCTGATGATTTTTCAATCACGGCTTATGTTGATGAGGGAAAGTTCACAGATGACTTGGTTGATGTTTACCGGAGGGTCGGAATGACCATCCTTCCTGTAAAAGGTGAAGTTTTTTGTTTACTTTCTTTGTATACATACATGTCTAATACTCTAGTTCTATTACAAGTCCCCTTTTGTGTACATGTCTGATACTCTTGATATATACTCGCAGGGGGTAAATATGCAAGAGTTCATCGTATTCTGATGGACATTGTTTTGTGGGCAATGGCCAATCCTGCTACCTACTTTAAACCATTGGATTTGGTGGTAATCTCAGCAAACATCAAAGAAGAATCCGACTTCCTCCGTGCCCTTGAAGCTTTGGGTGACAGATACTACAATATCATCTTAGCTTTGCCTCATGAGCTCCCATCAACCAAGCTGCCTACTGTAAAGTGGGAACGTTTCCTGTGGGGATTTCCTGATCCAGGAACCTTGAGGAGAAGAGCATAGAGGAGACTGGTCCTTTTCCGAAAGGAATTCCTCGTCTGGATCCCGAGGATATTTACTGTAAGATTTTATCTCTTGTTCGAAATTGCTTGTCTGGATTGATTAACTTTTCATAATCTAATTTGTTTATTCTCTCTTCTGAATTGTATTCATAATCTAATCTGTTTATTGTCAGGGTCTGATGTACTCGTCTTCTGGAATGTCGAGGACCCAATCGATATAGATTATGATCATGAGAGTCTTTATACGCCTATCGCTAAAGCTCTGGACACCAAGGGTTATTATGGTGAGGTGTCAATCATGGCTTATGCTGACAATGAAGATTTTAAAATCCCCTCGTCTGATGCCTTGAAAAAATTCACCGTCCTAACCAAAGGTGACGAATACTCCACTCTCTTTTCCCTCTTTTGTTACTTGTATTTATGTATCTAGTGTTAATCCTTCTCCTTAGATGAAGGAGATGATGGATATGCCAAAGTTACAAGGATGTTCTTGGACATGCTTTTTTGGGTGATGAACAACAACGATGAGCCTAGTCATTTCATTATGATCTCCAGACCTTCTGAATACACGACTAAGTGGCCCAATGTCGTTCAAGCGCTGGAAGGCAGAGGTTTCAATGTGATCCTTGGACCCTCTGATGCGATCCGATTACCACTCTCCATTGAGAGCTTCACAAGTCTTTGCAAAGACATACCACGCAGTACTCGAGGTGTTAAAGAATACCTTGAACTACAAAAATTTTCAGGTAAAATCCATCTCTTTTTCAGAATTTCTTTGTCTCACTTCCTTCATCTAGGCTCATGGATCTAATCTTTCTTTCAGGGACTGAAAAATGCATCTTCTGGGTCATTGAGAAGTTCCCATCCGATCCGATGGAGATACCTTTTATTGTTGAGAGGATGAAAGAAACCCTTAAGAAGAAAGGTTACACTGATCGTTATGTGTCAGTGATGGCGTATTTTGATGATGAGAAGCTCATGGAAGTTGAATCCATACCCGGAATGACAGTCACCCTTCTACCTCCTCAAGGTGACTTGCTATAC